GTGGAAAGTCACGTTCTGGAAGGGACCTAGCCTCTGCGTGCAGCGGCGTTTGCTGCCTGCCTTCAGGACCGTGCCCTCAGTTATCACTCTCCCCCGTCAAAGGACCAACCTGGAAAATGCAACACAAATTCACTACCCAAATCCTCAAGGCAAAGAACATATCCCTAGCATTTTTTCCTCATGTCCCTTAATGATCTAGGTTTTTCTTGAAATTTACCACCATAGAAATGTGGTGATTTGCACAGTTTCTTGTCTCCTTACAAGCTAATTCCGTATTTATCAATTGAAATTCTTTTGAACAAGTCTTTACCTTTAGAGGTGGTACTTGCCTCAAAATACCATAAACATTGATGTTGCAAAGAAAATGCAAACTGTGTTTTGCAAAGTTTCACAGACTTATTCCCGGTAAGGGGCAGGGTTATTGGCCTGAACTCTGTGTTCTTGGGGGAGGGGACCATGCTTCTTAGAGACTTGGCTTTGCGTTTTCCAGGTCCTTCTCTCCACTCGTGCTTTCCTGTGTCTTATAGACTAAAAAGCTTCTCAGGGTCAGCTTATGCCAAGCGAAACTTAATTTCTGAAACATTGCTTTTAACCTGCCACCCGATCCCGTCCACCACTGCAGTACTTCTTAAATAACTAACATTTGTTGCTGGAATGAATAATACATCAAATATTTAGTTTTCCCAATTAATAGGATGCCCTCTGATCTTCTAAAGAATTTTTTCACCCACACAATTCTCTTTGAGGGAGAAAAGAAAAAGAAGGTTCAAATTCCCTGTATCAGCAAAACCTCATTAAAAATGAATTTCGACATGAGTATCAGAGCAGGGGCACAAGTCCGACTATGACATTTGCTATAATGCTGCTGATCATAGGCCTTTCTCGAGTACTAATGAAGCAGCCACTTGAAGGAAAAAAACAGGGGCTAACAGATGTTGGCTGGAAAGTAATACAGTAGATTTTTTCTTCTGTATGACTCAATCCAAAAACACCTTCAGAAGAGTACTGAAATTTGGTTTTAGCATTGGTTTCTTGTTGATGCATTTTTTGGTAGAACTCATTAACCTCATCCTGCAATTCATAGTTCAGTAATTTCCTCTAAAAGGCAGCTGCTTCTGCGGGTGAGGCGCGCCGTAGGGAGATCTAATCCCAGCAGCGTGGGGTTCGGGAAAGGCTAACTTGTTTCACGAAGTGCACCACAATTTTTAGTACGTTTTATCCATTAAATCTTTACCTTTATGAATACATTTTCCTTGTATCCTTTTATACATAAATATAGCAAGCGCCTTTTGCCACTTACAGAAATGTCCAGGGTGTATACCACGGAGGAAAGTTCTCAGAATACTATCTCTTCGATTAGAACTTCAAGTTCTCTCTTAAATCACAAGGCTCATTGCCAAGGCTAATTTTTCCATGATAATGAAACACAGTGGGCATTTGAAAGCTATAGACACTGGGTTCAAAAAAAAGAAGTGTCTTTCCAGTGGAGAAAGACATTCATTTCTTGAGACTGTCCAGGTTTTTATTGATAAAGCAAGAGGTGACTGAGTGTGAAAAGTACTCATGAGGTTGAAGTACTGACTCTCTGGAAGTTCAGGCGCAACGCTGAGAGTTGCTGCCGCTGTGATCCATCTCAGTCCAGAACGGGGTGAGCAAAGAGCCTCTGGTTGCCTTGACAGTAGTGTATACAGCATCTTCATCATGGGTTTAAGGAGCCGCTGAAATTTGACATTCAGGCAAGAGCTACTTTCATTTGAAAACTGGAAACGTGAGGAGATGTGAAAGACCAGTCGCACACAGTCTGGAGCATGGAGCATGACTTAGGCTGCGTGTCAGGAAATCATCCAAGATAACGTGTTTAGAGGAAGAGACGAAGAGCATCTCACTTGTACCTTAAATTCAGGATTAAAACATCCAGCCAGTATTTCAGACTGGGACAATGTCATCATTGACACAGTGACATCGGGGCCAGCAAAGCCAGCATGCAGGCATCTCTGTCTGGGGCCACACCTCAAGGAACGCAGGAGGGGGCTCAAGCCACAGCCCCGCTGCGGCCAGACGGACCCCCACCCCATGCTCCGCTCCTCTTTGCCCACCCTGGCTGAGGGAAGGGCTGACAGTGAACTACTGTGCAGGCCTTTGGGAAGCTGCAAATTGAAAGGAGCTGGAGTTAACCCCACCAAAGTCACGTGAGAAAGCAGTGCGATATAAGACCCCAAATGCCTGTGTAAGTGGTCTTCGGGGGTGTAATTACTTTGTTTTTCTTTCTTCTATTTTTAATCATAGTTAAAATATTTAGGTGGCTAGACTTTTCTACTCATTTAGAGTTAAGTCAGCCTAGAACAATTGTCTTTTTTTTTTTTTTCTTGGTGCCAGGAATCAAACTCAGGACCTTGACTAGCCAGGCAGGCACTGTGCTGCGGAGCTATGCCCCCAGCCTGGAGAATTATGTCTAATGCAATCTTCTATTTTTTTTAATTTTTTAAAATTAAGATACAACTACAGAAAAAAGTAAATGCAACTGTAAATGTATTCTACTGTGAAGGGTCTGAAAAATACAAAGCTGATAAAAAATCAAGTAAGGAGATATATATATATATATATATATATATATATGAAATGTGTGTTTGTAAATATGAGGCTACATGTGCAATCAAATTCTAGGCAAAAACACTGAAGTAAATTGTGTGTTTTATAAAACAAAATAGCTTCATTCTGATTTTGCGGTTCAGAATACAGACAGTGTTTCTCCCCCCACAGTCAGTGCTAGCCTTCTTCTGCTTTATTTACAGTTTTAATTTTTCCTGGAACACACCGGCTGTTTCAAGATTATACTTTGTACAGGTGAAATGGATATACGTCTAAGTGTGCTTATCCTGTTTAGTTTTGATCAAAATAAACTTGCTCTCATATTCTATGTAATAAGACCTATAATAAAAAAAACTCATGAAATTTAAAACATGTATAAAATAGTGAAACTAGGCCGTGTAAAGCACTCATACACCCTGTTTCAGGAGTCAGCGATCCTCACAAGCCCACAGTGCCCTGAGGCCCCACAGGGTGCCTCTCCTTGGAGGAATCCCAGGGCGGACAAGGCAGTGGCTGCCTTAATCCATTGACCACAGTATGAAAAGCACTCAGGATAACAAGTGCAGGAATGAGGAAAATCAGCATGATTTGGGGATTTTCTGTTCCTTACAATGCTACCTGATCAAAAGGCATGCAGCAGCTGACAAATGCAGCAGGACTGTGGTGAGTCAATCTAGGGACAGGAAGAAAGCACCCCTCCCCCCTCCCTTTCCCCCTTCTCCACCTCTCCCCTCCCCCATCTCTCCCCTCCCCCCTCCACCCCTCCCCCTTCTCAGCACCGTACCTAGCATGCATGGAGGAGGAGTGGAGCTGCTCTTTCTCTACTGCCCTATAAGCATGAAGTTCTGAAAGCTGAGTTACAATATTCGATTATTTTGTATAAGATTTGTAAACTATCTCCAGTAAGTGATTATGTTTCGGATTGTGAGACTCCCCTCCCTTTTCAGCCAAGAAATTTCCATGTTGTTGAAGTTGGCTGCTTCCCCGGGCCTAAAGTGTGGAGGGCTGTAGAGAAAGTTCTCTCCTGCTTCCTAGGATAGGAACCCTCCTCAACTCCTGCAGGTACATCAGCTCTGTAGAGGATTGAAAGAAACAGAAGAGAACACACCAGGAGCGCTGCCTGCCTCAGACTCCCTCCACACATGGCATGTGTCCCCCAGAAAATTTAGTAACCCTTCAGCAGTCGTGAGGACTCAGAAATCTCTCTTTATGCTGGTCCTTGACTCTCAGCAGGGACTTTTGTGAACTTTGTCATCTTCCCCTGACCTTGAAGCCAAACCTAGGGAAATGGCTTTAATTAATGAGATGTAATGCGTTAAAATGATAGCTGGAGCCTTCCAGGAGCTGGGAAGCCAGAGATGTTTTAAAATTCTGAGTATCCTTTCGAGAATCCCCCGTTGTAATTTATAATTCTCAGTGGACCTATATTTGTCTTAAACTGATTGTTGAAATGGGCTTTGCTAGGAATTTCTTCACTGAAATTGCAGCAGGGCAGGGGCTGGGGTGGAGCCGCCTCCAGTGTGGTGGGAGGAGGGCACGCTCTCTAACGAGGCTTTAAAACCTTCAGGGGTTAAAGTCCCATAGCTGAGAAGGTTCCATATGTGTGCGTGCGCGTACACATGCGCGCACACACACACAGCGTGCGCAAGGCCAGCAGCTCTGTGTAATGAGCATGAATTGTAAATTATGTAGGTAGCAGAATTCACATTTTTTTAATCAACATTGCACCCAAAAATGGCTATAAAACAATGCTTGCCTGGGGAAGTAGATTTATAGCTACATGCCTTTCACAGGCTCGCTGGAGGGCCGGGCTCCCGGCTCTAATCTGCAGGAGAGGAGATGTTTTTTGCATGTGTGTGACAGAAGGCTAGGGGGCTGCGAGCTTGCCGCGCCCCATTGTCAGCCCGACCAGGGAGCTGGGACTGGGTCCTGTCTGCGGGGTCCTGCGAGCTCTCGGCTGCGTGTGCACGAGAAAAGTCTGCGCTGCGCGGCTCTGGCTCTCTCTCTCTCTCTCTCTCTCTCTCTCTCTCTCGCTCGCTCTCTCGCTCTCTCTCGCTCTCTCTCGCTCTCTCTCGCTCTCTCTCTGTTTCCCTTTCATTCTGCTTCCCCGGAGCCGAATGAAGCAGCAGCCAGCAGGATTAGTGTCCGCCACGGGCTATCAGAGGAGTTCAGATAAAAGGACCTGCGTCCTAGCCACCCCTGCAGCAGCCCTTGTGATTGTTTCTCTCCACACAACAGTTGTGCCTCATTATCCGGTGCCTGGCTCGATTTTTTTTCTTCTTCTTCTTCTTGAGGGTTTGAAGTTTCCGTGCTTCAGAGACTGTTGCCGAGGAAGCGGCGTTAGCGCTGCGGTGCGGGCTTGATCGGCTGCATTTATGAATGGGACTGACCCAGTCACCTGTTACCTCCAGTTTCCAGATTGTTTGAACTTCTCTGGCCGCACCGCGCGGGCAGGAAGGCGGCGGCCCGAGGACCCGCGGCGGGCGCCTGCAGCATGGGCCGGCTGGCCGGGCTGCTCTGCGTTTTCTGGGGAGCGTTCCTCGCAGCAAGAGCAAACTCCGCGCACGGGAAGAACAATGTGCCGAGGCTGAAATTATCCTACAAAGGTAAGTCTGGGCTCTCCCTCGATTTGGCTGGCTTTGTAATGCGGCTCCCCCTGCTCCAACTCCTCCCAAGGCAGCCCCTCCGAGCCGGCTGGAGCTCGAAAGCCTCTGTGATGATGGCGATCTTTCTGAGACCGTCGAGGTACTTTTCTTTAAAAAAGCAGGTCTCCTGTTTGCTATGTGACAATTTAAGTCCAAACAAAGAACGTTTAATCACATTTTCCGAGAGAGGAGCTGCTCGCCCGGCACACGCAGGGCTGTGGATCTGGGGTCCTATCTTACGTTGTGTTCGTTTTTCTGACTTTGCCTCTATTGAAATGTCTTAAAAACAACACGAATGCAAACATGGTCTCTTTCTAGATGTGCCGGGCTGACTTCCAGCGATCGGGACGAGGCATGGCATTTTCTTAGTTTTAGACACGAAATGGTTAACCGCCGTCATGAATATTCAGTTCGCTCGGATCTGACAATCAGATGCTTAGCATAGGCAGTAGATGGTGCTTTGCCAGAAGAATATAAACCGGGGAGAACAGACTAGTTGTCCCACTCTGTGTTAGGATTGGGGAAAAGACTGTGTGTTTGCCTAATTGGTGTCAAGGAGCCTTGGAAATCTGATGTGATTTCCTCCCAGTGTAGCTCAGGGAGGACGGCGGAGACTGCACGCTGTGGCTCATGGCCCTGTGAACTTCTTTTTTAAAAGTCTACATTTAAGAAAGAAGAAACCAACCTCGTGATATGGCACTTTGTTTGGCTTCAGTGTTAACTATGTGGTTTTTTAAAATAAGGATTTTTTTAAAAAACACTCTGTGTCTGGATAGATTTTATACATGATGTCCAGCATAATGCTAAGGTGATCCCCAAATGAGGCGTGAACACGTTAACTTTTACTGGCAGAAAACAGTGCTATCACTTGGCATGATTAAATGAAGTTGGAGATTAAACAGTTTCACCCTCCTCTAGTACTTTTACTCCCTGAGGTGTTGATTTCTGAGGAGGCTCAGATTTCCAGATGGGGGTGGGGCCGTGAGAAGCTTCAGTTATGCCAAGTTTTAAGCCTATGAAAGAAAACTACTGCATATATAGAGATGGCCTTCTATTGCACAGCGTTCTTGTGCCAGAGACTTACTCCATGCTTTACCCCCGGTGGGAAACATTGCTTTCCCAGTGTTCTGGATGGGATCTCAGATGGAGAAGAAAAGAGCACATTTTCACCCCTTGAATTAGAAAATTAAACACCTATAAGATGTGTTTATTTTAACTTAATTTTTGGATAAAACACATTGAACTGGAAAATTTTGAAGTATTTACTCAACCTTCTAATTGTTAATAGATGTTAAACATCAAAAATTGTAATTTTTCCCAGAGTAGGTAATGTCAGGCAAGTGTGTTTCATCATTCTTTGCCTCCAAATTTTGCTCCTTAATAAGGTGCCATCCAGCAATTCTTCGGTGGGTGGTCTATCTCGTACAAGTTTATATTTCTAATAAGTAGGTTCAACATAATCTTTAATTCTGAAAGCCCATGCCTATATGTTAAAATTTTAGATCGACAAGCTTAAAATTAGAAATACATCTCAAGAGTGTGCTAGAGTCAGAACTAGTACTCTAAATGATAAATAATTTTTTAAATAAATGTAGCATTTTTAATTATAGTTTTTAGTTACAAGAATTTCCTTTGCACTGTAATAGATTAGTCTGATCTATTTCATGGTATATTACAGAGGGGGATCACATCCTTCCATGAGGCAGTGCTTAATTAAAAGTCTCCTTTGCTGTGTACACTGATAGAGCCAACTGTCCACACTGACAAGATGAGTCTGACGTGCTCCTCCGGCCTGGAGCAGCAACAGTGCAGGTGTTCCACTGTCACTTAAATCAGTGACTGCCCCACACCTGTGTGGAAATTCCACTGATTTACCAAGAGCTGTGCAGTTTGGTAAAGTAAACTGTGAAATGGACAACAGCAAGAAAAATAAAAGCAGTGGCCCAAGCGCCTCTCCCTCTGTGACCTTCTTGCTCCGTCATTACCTTTTGTGTCTCTTTGACCTTTATTTTGCCAGAGCAAATGCCTGGTAGCCAATTGTCTGTGAGTAGTTTGTTTCCATACTATAAGAGAGATTTTGTTTTTAAAGCTAGTATTTTCTCCTCCTCAGTTAGATGTCAAACATAGTTAAAACATCCCTTGCATTGCCCATTGCCCTTAAAAATACTCCTGAGGAGCGAAATCCCTGCCACCCTTGCTTTCCCATGGTCCCTTGTTCTCAGAGATGCACCATCCACCGCTCACTGCTCGGGCCCCAAGATGAGCTTTCCGGCACTCGCCATGCATGCCTCGGACTTGTCATCGTGCCTGGCAGGAGGTGAAAGAGGCTGGATGCATTTGATGAGAAAGAAAGCGGAGTGAACACAAGGATGCAGCCTTTCAGCCATGTGCGTGCAGAGCTCCTAAGCTACCTCTTACTTTCGAGGAAAAGGAAACTGAATAGATGTGCTCCGACCATCTGGAGAAGTGATAATATTAGAGAAATGGGCTGTGCTGGCTTTCCCTCCGAACCAACCTGATTTAGAATCCTTGTGGGGGAAGAAAATGTGAGAACGCTGTAAATCTCAGCAGTCATAGAAATTACCTCAAGAGGCACTCACTCGGGCACACTGCTGCCGGCCTGCCCTGCGTGTGGTGCGGCTGGGCAGCGAAGGCGCCCTCCCGACACGCGTGCATGGCTGCACCTCCACAGGCCAGGCGAGGTTCATCTTCCCAGCGAGGTCTGGGAAATCACGTAATCTGTCGCTTGAGATATGTGACACAATGAAGTCCTCAGAAAAATCGATGTGTATCACAAGAAGATAGAACGAGTTGGGGTTTTAAACAGACGCCAGCTGTCCCATCCTTCGGTGTCGTGGGTTTTTCCAGAACCTCATGTGTACCAGCTTTAGTAGAAATCAAAGACACATGCAGATTTCAGCTGAGGATGATCTTGTGACCCGAAGGTTAAATCAATGATCTTAACCTTCATAGGGAGGACTTGGTAAATAACACTTGAGTAACTCATAGACGCTTGAAAGCCGCCACGTTTGCTGAGGCCTTTCTTTGCAGAGTCAGCTTATTTAATTATTCTAAAAATGGCTCTGCAAATTATATCAAAGTTCTCATATCTTTCTGGTACTAGAAGATAATTTTCATTAAAATTCAGAAATAAAAATTTCCAATTCTTTCCCTCATCCTTCACTCACTATGTTTTTTTCAAATTAATATGAATTACTGGCTAAACATGACTTCCGTTCAGCAATTTACTTCTAACAAAGCAGTGTAACATAGTGTGTGTACGTACCTGCTCACATGCATGTGAACGTATGTGTGTATATATGTCCAGGTTTGTGTATGTGCACACGCAATGTCTATGAAGCATGTAGCTTCCTGTTGGTAACTCTTGTTGAGAATGTTCTTTCAGCTACCTACAGAATGTGAATTTTGGCAAAAATCTTAAGAATTTTTATTATTGATTTAAAATGATATTTATATTTAATACATGCTATGAAAAGTTGTCATCAATATCTTATATAGTTCACCTAATGGTATGAAGTATAATTTGTCCTACACTAGAAATTCCTTCACACATGAAAGGAGCATTTTCGGAGAGAAAAGGGTGTGCACGCGGTCATGCACATGGGTGCATGGGGCAGCAGAGAGAAATCCTTTGCAAGTGTCTGCTTTCTTCGCTGCAGACCTGCGACTTGCTGTGATTCGATAGGACTTTTCCTGCTCAGAGTTTGTCAACTGTAAGTCAAACTGGCTCTGAAATCCTAAAATAAACAGAACAAAAGGAAAAGTATTTTATCTAGTTAAGCACATCCTGGCAAAGGAAGTAGAGACACACAGAGACAAAATGCAGCCGCCGCACATACTGAGAGCCTCTGTCCAGTGCAGTGCGGCAAGCGTGCGGCTCCGCGGGGCAACTCTCCTGCCCCACGCTGTCGGCCAGACTGGCCTTAGTAGCAGTGACACCCTCAGGGTAGACTGAGGGGACAGGACAGTAACAACTCCTCTAAGCCTTTAAGCTATCAAGTTCCGGGCTATTCAGCCTTCACCAGCTTCAGTAAATAAGGGTATGGAACACATACTTCCCAATACAAATTTTTATATTGTTTCATTTATGTGATTGATTTTCCTCACACATAGTGTGCTGTGCCTAGATATTTAGCCAACTAAATGGATATCAAATTTCTGTTTGTTTCTTGATTTTTTAATTACCACACATAATCAACATAATTAAAAAATACATTGTGAATGTGGGATCAACTATACTTAGATTCTATACCCAAATATGAAAGTGATTGAAAGATATTTCAAAAATAAGTTTAGTTACAATGAATTAACAGATCACATACGCCGTGTTGGTAAGAATGAGTGTTACAGCAGTGCTTACGGCGCGTGATAGCCTCAGCGAGGCCACACACCTGCTCTGTGGACTGCGCTTCATGGCCAAGTCCGCTTGTGTACTTTAAGGAACTTGGGTTTTGTATTGTCATGAACCTTAAGGCATCTGTACAAAATTGTTTTCTTTAGACTTTTACCCCAAATATTCTCACTGAAATTTCACCAACACATCTCTGCATCTCAACTCCAAAAGCCAAAGTGCCACATCTTCACAACTTTTGAAGATTTTAAAACTTGAAGGCAGCACCACCCTAATAGAATTTGGACTTGGGTTTTTCTAAAATCATCCAGAGTTACCATTATTAAAATAAATTTTGGATTGATTTTTATTAGAGTTTTTTTATTTATAAGACTCTAATATTATGTCTTGGAAAGTTAAATACTAGCTAAATAAATCATCGTTCTGCACCACAATGTCTGGGGCATAAAGTGACATTAAAGTGATCCATTGTTGCAAGGTTGAATATGAAATGTCCAAAACTCGTGACAACAGCAAGCTAAGCTTCATGTAGGTAGCCAGACACCGTGCTTCGAGGCCAGTGGTCACAAACTAGATTAGAGCAAGCCTG